CACACACACACACACACACACAAACCCCTCTGCTGTTAATTGTTGAGCAGAAATGAACATCAGCCACCTCCCCACCATCACTTCTGTCAGCAGACGAAAAAAGTTCGGACAAAGATGGAGTACGGAGGGAGGATTCTCTCTCTCTCTCTCTCTCTCTCTCTCTCTCTCTCTCTCTCTCTCTCTCTCTCTCTCTCTCTTTGTTGCTCTCAGATCAAGGGTTGGAGTGAAAAGAGAGAGAGGCAGAGAAGTGGTTTGGTGAATGTTTCTTTTTTGGAGTGTTAAGGGTCTTAAGATTCAGCTCTAAAACAGCTTGTGTGGGTATATGTGTGTGTGTGTGAGAGAGAAACATGCAGACAAAAGCTGAGACATGGGGAGCTGTTATTTTCACTGAGTGCGTGATTGTGTGTGTGTGTGTGTGTGTGTGTGTGTGTGTGTGTGTGAATCTGCTGTCCGCTATAATTAAGTCAAAAGACTTTACAGGACTATGGAGGTGAACAGCTGGTCCACCTCTCGCTGCTTCTCTTTAACTAACACACACACACTCGGGCGCGTGAGGGAGAATGAGCTTTATTTATTTAATAATTATTAATAATTAATTCTGAATAATTGCTGAACGTTGAATTATATACAGAATATTTTGTTCATATATTATTCAGCTTTCCACGTGCGTTTCAACAGAATTTAAAAACACTTAATTTGAACCACATGATACTCATATTTAAAAAAAAAAGATTTACATGGATTATTGATTTGGGTATTGACCCTTGCATTTTGAATTTCCATGTAGTTTTTTTTTTTTATAGAAATGCGTTTCTATACAGACATCTAACGGAGACATAGATGTGTGTGCATATACATGTGTGTGTGTTTAAGTGCCAGAAAGAGTCACGGTCATGTACACACACACACACACACACAGAGACACAAATAAGGGAAACAATTAGAGCAGCATATGTTTTTCCTCGTATCTGAAATTAGTGTACTGGGTCAAGACAACGTGCTTTCATTGTATAAACACAAGAGTGAGAACAAGAGTACAATTACCATTATCTGTGTATGTGTTCGCACTGGTGTGTGTTTGGTGTGGAGTGCTCCTCAGCCTGGTTAGTGTCCCTTGCTCATGTAGTAGCTTGGCGCTTATTTATTACCAAAAGCACTTGCACCGATTAGCGCTGTACAAAAAAAAAAAGTCCCATTTCTTCTGTTTCTCTGTGGTTCTGCTTCACTTCTTAGACTTGACTGACAGATTTGCAGTCCTCAACTCTAAAGGAGCTGATGTTGTTCAGCCTCCGTGATTACAGAGTCAATATTTAAATGCTTGAACTGATCCACACAGCACTGTTCCAGCATGTCCTGTGCCCATTCGTGAGAGCTGAGATTGGTTTATTCCAGTTAGCTCATTACACAGATCTTTATTTCCTAGTCTGGGATTAGTCTTTCTTAAATAACTCTGTCCATCCTCCAGTTTCACCAATATGAGTTCAGCATCTGCATCATTCACCTGCATTCACATGTACATACACATGTTTACCCTCGTGCTTATTGTATGAACAAGCCTGGATACAACACACTAACACAAACACCGCCACACACTATAATAATTCAGCATGTTTTTTTTTTTACGGAGAGATTCTCTCTGTACTGAGTGAGAGATTAAGCACCTATTAAAACATTGACTCAGTGTGGACCAATCCTGTGTGACTGTGAAAATGCACTTGTCAAAAGCGTGATGAAAGTATGTAGCATTTATATGACAGCATGATGAGCCAAGGTCTTTCCAGCTGCAGCATGTATTAGGTGGAATATAAAGCATTCCCACTTATCGTATCTCATTGACTTTCAGTCAAGAAAAGTTTACACATTGCATGTAAGCTGTTATTTAAAAAAGCTATTGTTAATGATGATTTATCTCATGAATGAAGTCACATTTACTTAGCTTACTCAATAAGGCCATTCAAAAAGGGATGTGTCACAGGAGCTGAAATATTTATTCTGTTATTTCTCTGTGTTTTGCAGGTGGCAGGGACGAACCCTCCAGCTACATATGTACCACCTGTAAGCAGCCCTTCCCCAGCGCCTGGTTTCTGCTGCAGCATGCCCAGAACACCCATGGCATTCGCATTTACCTGGAGTCTAACCCCTCCAGCACAGCCCTCACCCCTCGTCTTACTATGCCTCCACCCATGGGCAACGACTCCATCCCGCAGTCCCCCCTCACCAACTTTCTAGGGGACAGCAACCCCTTCCACCTCCTGAGGATGACAGGGCCCCTGCTCAGGGAGCCCCCTCCAGGCTTTGTTGAAAACCGTCTCCCCAACACCCCTCCATTTGTCAGTCCGCCTCCCCGCCATCACCTGGACCCCCATCGGCTGGAACGCCTTAGTGCCGAAGAAATGGGGCTCATCTCCCAGCACCCCAGTGCCTTTGAGAGGGTGATGCGGCTAACACCCATGGCCATGGAGTCCCAGTCCATGGACTTCTCCAGGCGGTTGCGTGAGTTGGCAGGGAACACTAACAGCACCACACCACCACTGTCACCTAGCAGGCCCAACCCTATGCATCGACTACTAAACCCCAATCCCTTCCAACCAGGGCCAAAATCACCCTTTCTGAGCACCCCTCCCTTACCGCCGATGCCCCCAAACAGCACCACCCCTCCCCAGACACAGAACAAGATCAAGTCCTGTGAGTTCTGCGGTAAGACTTTCAAGTTTCAGAGCAACTTGGTGGTGCATCGGCGCAGCCATACTGGAGAAAAACCATACAAGTGCCAGCTGTGTGATCACGCCTGCTCTCAGGCAAGCAAGCTGAAGCGCCACATGAAGACCCACATGCACAAGGCTGGATCCCTGACGGGGCGCTCCGATGATGGCCTGTCCACCACAAGCTCCCCAGAACCAGGCACCAGTGATGTCACAGGTGAGGGCATGAAAAATCGGGATGGGGACTTCCATGGGGAAGGCAATGAGGAGGAAGAAGAGGAGGAAGAGGAAGAGGAACTTGAGAATGAGAGTAGACCAGAATCAAACTTCAGCATGGAGTCTGAGTTCTACCGGAACAGGGAGAATGGTTCTAAACCTCCTTCAGAAGAGAAGTCATCACTTACTCTTGAGAAGATGGTGGAAAGTGGGGGGCTCAATTCTATACAGCAGTACAATAATTTGATAGTTGACAATCGAAAAAGGATGCCCTTCTCGAAGAGGGGCTCGGATGGCCAGCGGGACACTGGAGATGAGGATTCAGTGGCTGGGGAGATGGATCACCACCACCACCACCAGCAGGAAGAGAGGACAACCATTAATGGCCGGAACTGTGGCTCCGGTGATTCTTTCTCAGGCCTGTTCCCCCGTAAGCCCACCCCTATCACCAGCCCAACCCTGTCCAATTCCTCAAACAAGAGGATCAAGATTGAGAAGGACTTGGACATTCCTCCAGCACCCCACATCCCTTCTGAGAACGTGTACTCCCAGTGGTTAGTGGGCTACGCTGCCTCACGCCACTTCATCAAAGACCCTTTCTTAGGCTTCACTGACTCCAGACAATCGCCCTTTGCCACCTCTTCTGAGCACTCATCAGAGAACGGAAGCCTGCGGTTCTCAACACCTCCAGGTGACCTGCTGGATGGCGGCCTGTCTGGCCGCAGTGGTACGGCCAGTGGGGGCAGCACACCTCATCTAGGTGGAGGTGCCGGTCCAGGTCGACCTAGCTCCAAGGACAGCAGGAGGTGCGACACCTGTGAATTCTGTGGCAAGGTGTTCAAGAACTGTAGCAACCTGACAGTGCACCGGCGTAGTCACACTGGCGAAAGGCCCTACAAGTGTGAGCTGTGCAACTATGCTTGCGCCCAGAGCTCCAAGCTCACACGTCACATGAAAACACATGGCCAGCTCGGTAAAGAGGTCTACCGCTGTGACATTTGCCAAATGCCCTTCAGCGTGTACAGCACTCTGGAGAAACATATGAAAAAGTGGCATGGAGAACATTTGATGACCAGCGAGGTCAAAATTGAACAAGCAGAGAGAGCCTAGAGCAAGTTCTGTATTTCCATACTCTGCACCACACTTTGACTTAAAAAAAAAAAAAAAAAAGGGGGAACCGGAATCCTTTTTTTAAAAAAAAAAAAATATTAATTTTGGGTTCATTTTGTGTTTTTATTAAAAAAGAAAAAAAACTGCCAACTGAGAAAATAGTGAAAACAGAGATCTTAACATCAGCTGAAGTTGTCTAAACTGCCTCCTTTGGCATTCATTTTTAAACAATCAGTCAGTTGAGTTATAAAATATGTGGAGCCTTTAACTGTGCAATAATTTCTGTATTTATTGGATTTTGTATTTTGGCATGTGCAGGTACACTTTTTTTAGGCTTTTTTTTTTTTATTGGTTTTACTTTGATTTTGCGTTATTCTATTTTTTATTTTTTTATTTTTATTTTTAAAACCCACATAATATCCTGAGAGTTCTTTAGAGGTCAAAATCCATTTTAAGTCTTCTTTTTTGGCCACTGCTTGTAGGAAATTGTATATTAAGCTCATGTGTAATTTCTTGAAAAGATGCTGAATTCAATCTTCAATTTAAAAGTGGCGTTAACTGAGAATGCTAGATTTAGTCTATTTTGTGTGATGACGATACGCGGACAACAATCCTTTGGCATTGTAGCATGAACTGACTCTAAAACATGTCAATATAATTGGATATGTAGCACTGAGTGTCATATTTGACAGTAAATATAAAACGAAAGAGGATCCCAAGGTTCATAAACCCTGTCTCCTCATGAGAACATCCTAACCAGCCAGAAGAAACAGATTCTAGATAAGGCAGCTGCTGACTGGTACGAAGTGCCAAGCTCTGACAACGCTACGACAACCATCCCATTTCTTCGACTTCCCACACACTCCTCCTCTTAATACCATCTCACCACATTTGTACATCCATGCATTTTATTTTGCATGAAGCCATATGATCTAGGTTATATTATTTATTAGGAGTAAGTGAGCATGAAGCCATGATGAGTATGCATTGAGAGAGATGAAAAAAGGGGACAGAGAGAGAGCACAGGAACATCTCAGGGTAAACTATACTACTTTCCTTTATTTACCCATTCATTCCGAAATTGCCCTCCGGCAATGAACTTTCAAAGCATTTCCTTTTCATCTTAGGTTCTAACTATTAGAGACAGTTTATATGTTCTCTTGAGCACCAGGCTAATGTCCAAGCCTCATTTGAAAGTACACATTTATATTTAAAGTCACTGGGTCTAATAACAGCATTCATTTGTTTAGAGAGCATTAAATGTGCATACATGGCATATGGCACCACTTTGACTAGATTTCTTCAGATAATTTAACTCTGAGAATTTATTGTTAAAAAAATAATATCAAAATCAACACCCCTATGCATTTTGTGCTGAAATATATTACAATCTGCTGAAATGACATTAAATTCTAACTTGTGATGTTCTAGTGATTCTATAATTACATAGTCTGATTAATGAAGTCACCTCTCTAGGAAATTCAAATTCTTCAGCGTTTCATTGTTAGTTGTGGGACACTTTTGTGTAGAAGACGAACATGTTTTTGGTGTGTACTGAAATAATAAAACAAATTTTTTACTAAGACAAGCATCATCAGTTTGCTCCATGCCCTTTTGTTATTTTAAAAAGCCCAATTCCCATTATTTATTTAAACCCCATCCACCTCCATGACAGCACTTTCAAAGAATTAGATCTAATTTTCATACTGTCAATGTACAAACAGCGCCGAACAATAGACCCGCACTTTATGATTTTTTTCTTTCAACAACACGCACACACACACACACACACACACACACCTACACACACACACACACACACGGTGAGCTGGACAGAAAACATTCTAAAGGGTGTGGAGCTTGGGATCTCCTGATGCTGAAGTGCCCAGGATTGTTAGGCTTGGCTTTCCCAATACTGGCACTATAAAAAATTAGTAAATAAATTATAATAATTTATTTGGGACAGTTTTTGTACTGCCATTCAATTTGACATGAGTGTGCCTTGAATAATGATCTTCCTATTTATTGTCTCAAACAAATGCAACACTTTTTATGACGCATCAAATTGAATGATATTTAAAAATAAATAAAAAAAAAGAGAAAAGAAACAAAAATTTATAACTTTAATGTGTAATTTGACAGCTCAACAGAACTATTTAAATGGATACAAATGAAACAATGCTGAGTTTTGGTTTAGGATTAACCAGCACAATATTAATGTGTCTGTTTGTGTATATATGTATGCATATGTACATATAAAGGCACAAACCTATATATAGATCTATATCAAATTCCTCACTCACTTGGACAAGAGTCTGTCCCTCAACAGAATATTCCAAGAGTGGACAAAAGCCAAACAAAAAGTCAAGGAAGAGACTGGACAAAAATCAGGAAATGCAGAAACTAAAAAAAAAAAACAAAAAAAAAGAACAAAAAAAAAAAGAATTTAGTGCACTCTGTCTTAAAATAAGTTTACAGTATTGATACAAGTACAAGGGTAAAATTAATATTTGTGTGTATGTGTGTTTTAAACAAGTATTTTTAATTTTTTCCAGGTTTGCTTCTAAACTTTCTCTGAATGCCGAAGTGGCAATGTGTATATTGTTTTCTTTTTATTTTCCTTTTCTTTTTTTTTCTTCCTTTTTTTCTTTTTCTTTTTTTTTCTTTTTTTTTTGGTGACGGGGTTTTAGTATATATATAAATATATATGAATATATATTACATTTTTCTTGTTTACTGTAAAAGTATACCAGTATTTGTAATATTGGAGAATGCCTGGGCATTTTACAAAAATATAAAAAAGGTTGTTTTTTTATTTTTTATTTTACAGTCCAATTTAAATTGTGGGTCTCTTAAACTGTTTTTGTCACTGTAACTGTATAAGTCTTAAGTTTTAGTAACTTTTATTCTGCCTTGGGTGTAATGAAAAAAAAAAAATAAATGAATTAAAAAAAAAATGACTGAGCTGTAACAAACTTGGATTTGGTAGTGGAGTTTGGGGCTGTAGGGTGGCGGGTGGGTGAGTGGGTGCTCCATTAACAGAGGGAGGCTTTCTTCCTTAAAAATAATGGAACTTTGGTTCTACTTTTCAGGAAAAACACACTGAAAATCCTGACTTGTATCTATTTTTCTTCTTCTGGAATGGATTATTCTTCATGGATGGTTTGAAATACATGTGTAGGCACTTGCTGTCTTTCCTAAGGAGCTTGTCTTTTTTTAACTTGTAGGCTATGTGCATCCTTTGTGAATAGGGTACTCTGAGTACCTCAGGACGTCTTGCTCTTATATTAGATGCTGGGGTGGGTGGGTGACTTTATTCCAATGACCAATCCAACTTACCGGCTGCCACAATCTGTTTTTCCTCTCAATGTGCAGGATAAACAGATGAATTTGTACTGTTGTAATGAATCATGTTGTACAGAATGGGATCAAAAAAGGCTGTTAAACAGCCTTTCAGTGACAAAAACACAAGCTGATGTTTTGTTTACCACTCCATTGGTTGTATATAGTTTTCTATGACTACGCTGTTTTCATTTTGTTTCACTTTTTTTTGTTTGTGATTTCTAACTGGCACTGGCAGTGACTTCGGGGAGGTGTGTGTGAGGGTGTATATGTGTGTGTGTGTCTGTCTGTCTGTCTGTGTGTGTGGGTGTGTGTGTGTGGGGGGGGTTTCTTCTGTTTGACCTTTGTGACCTCCATGCCAGTTTTCAAGCAAACGCCTCCCCCGTTGATATTTCTCGGCATGAGAACAGAGCACAAATACAAGCTGTTACAATTCTCCATCCTCTGCTTGTTTGTCTCATTTTGTTCTTTGAGCTGGTTTGACAGAATGGGACCACAGAAAAACAAATGACAGCATCAACCTTGAGTAGTTTACATGCATTCTTAAATAATTCAGTAAAGTTCAGAAAACATATGGACTACACTTTTACTACAAGCACATTTAATACTGCAGGAACGGACCAGAGAAACCATCATCATATGAGCATCTGAAGTGCTAAAGAAAGTGGTAGGGGCGTCCATAAAGCACCTCCCTAAAAGCAGACTCTATACATCTAACAAAAAGCCACTTATAATATCTTTTTCTATACTGTTATTAATCGATCGCCCACCAGGTTTTTCCAACCAACAACCCACCAATCCCACATTCCACAGCTACAGATGTCCTCACATTTCTACTGAAATACAGTAATAAAAATACGACGCGGCATTGGGACAACGTGGAGAATTTTTTTTAATGTAATAATGTTTGAATGCAGAGGGGAAGGGTTGATTAGGGATGTAATGCTTTTTGTGATGTCGCTTTATTTACATACATGACCGAACTCTGATAGGCTGCAGCTTGTGTTCTCTATAATGTCACTGAGGTGCAGCCGTGGACGCCATCGGCTTCTTACAGTAAACATGGCATTCACACTCTCACTGTCTACTTCTCCTTTTTTACCTCTTTCATACATAAATTATTTTTTAAAAAACTGAGTAAGTTTTCCTTTTGAAAAACTTTTTTCTTACTCCACGTCCATTTTTTTTTCTTTTTCAAATAGCTATCATTTTGGGCGAGATACACAACAGTCTGCTGTCGTCTACGTCTTCTATTAACAGTTTAAAATACACTGGAAGACAAAATACTAAAGGGAAACAGGGTAAAAAAATAAAAAATAAATAACTTACAGGTATCACCATGAAACTGCTCCAGTCAGAAAGGCAGTCGTTTTTCATTACAAGTTTACTGAATTGTACATATAAATATGCATGTGATGTATTATCTGATTAAAATACACACATTTGCATAAACCTGCAGAACAATGCCACAAAATTCTTGTTTTGTTAGGTTGACATCGGAGAGCAAAAGTATTTTACAGAGGTGGTTTTAGATATCTCTTTTCATCACCCTGTAAATCTGAAAACACTGGCAATAATTGGAAAACAATCTTTTTGCTGCATGAGAAAAGCTTAGAGATGCATTGAAAGTCCGCTGCAACCGTTCCACACATCACAGTCTGCTGCAATACTGTTTTCCCTTTGCTATTTCCGCATAACGTGGTTCACTACCAAGATACTAAGTGATTTATGGTCGCAATATTTTAAATAAATCAATAACTGATCACATCAGTTTTTAATTGTGTGGATGAATCTAAACCTTGTCCAGCACATGTCAGCGCCCCACAGCTTCATCTTTACATGATGCTTTCAGGCACTTACTGGCACATACATCTTTCAGTTCACTTTGAGGTGTCAACAATTATACCTTAACAATTAAACCTTTAAAAAACATGTTTAACCAGTTCATGGACGTACGCTGAGCTTCAACACATCACACTTTGCTCTTATTCTCTTCATGATTACGCTCATAATGTGTAGTGAAAAGTCATTTGAGCATCTATGATTAAATACAAAACCATCACTGACGCAGCTTTAGATTATTTATCGGATAGTTTTGACCAGTAAAAACCATGTGCAATAAAGTAGAACAATTAAACCATAAATATTCAATGCAAACAACTCTGAGACTGCGTTTCTTTATCTAACAGTTATGAGCAGCATCAAACCTCAACACATAACTACAATCCTGTTTATTACAGGTTTGCCAGGTACTCACAGAAATGATTGAAGGTATGTTTTGTTTCTTCTTGAACATCTTTAAGCAATCTTCCATACAATAAAAATGTTTCTAACCATCCAGGTTATTTAGCTAATTTAAAATCCCTGTGAACACAATTATCATCCACAATAGCCATCTTTTCTCCCATTCGCTGGTCTGATTGACGTCCCTTGTCAAAAAGAGCGCGCCACACAAGAGGTGGCACTGCTACTTGTTAAAATGTTGAACCTCGCCATCAATCAGTGAGGCTCAATATTTTAAAAAGAGCGCAATGAATAAATGACAAGTTATGATAATTAAATCTGATTCAAAGAAACAGAAGAAATCTTTGGTCAGCTGAAGTGCGGCTTTTCTATTAAAAGTAACACAAAACAGACAAGAAGAGATAATTTATTGTTTTTTATCTCACAAAGCTTTACACTCCTATGACTTTGAATGACAGCATTTACAATGAAAACATAAAAATCTACATGATAGCAGCGCAGTCTCTAAGATAATGTCTCTTTGCATCACTGAATGTCACTCGCTTCTCTGGAAAACCACGCGTGGAGGAAAATCAGCAGCCTGAAAGAAGGTCATTAATTCTCTCATCACCTGCTTCAACATTTTCACATTTTCTCTTTTATTTTGATTTAATTTCATCCTTCCATTTCCACAGCAGAGGAGGGAAAAAAAGAAATCCAGACCCACAATTAGTCCGAGGGAGGCAGGAGTGCGGAGTCGGACAGACCCGGGCGAGTTGTGATTTGGCTTGAGTTTCAAGGCAAATGGGTAATTAAGGCTTTTCCCTGGCCGGCCTGCACTTTGAAGTCCCCTACAGGGGGGATTATCCCAGCCAAGAGAAAGACAGTGAAAGCGAAGTAATGAGACCCAATAAGAGGGGGAGAAACTCAGAAAAGCAAGGAGTGAAGCCTCGCTGAAGAAAGAGATTTTAAAAATCAAGTAATTTGTTTTAAAAAGGCAGATTTTTATTGGAGGCAAAACAAAGCACAAACAAATATCACACGTTAGAAATGTACAATAAAGCACAATGACGTATAACTGCCACTAATGAGCGCTGAAATGAATGGATTATTCAGCTGACAGATCCAACTGTAATCTCAATAATTGATTCATCATAAAATGTATTTTTTTAATTGCAGATTTCCTGAATACAGTTTCTGGTTATACATTTATTTCCCTGGATTTGAACAGTTAATCAAATAAACAACAAAGAAACGAAATGACTGTGCACTCTGACAGAAAGTGTCAGTGACAATTTTCTGAATTTTCTGAAATTACTCAAACAAAAGAAATGACTGAATTTTTCCCCCCTTTGCATTAAAGTGCAAAATTATGTCATCACAAAACAAACAAACAAACAAAAATTGAAACAACAGAATTTCTCAATCTGATTGAAGGAATGTGTTTTCCTTCACTTGAGTCAATCCACAGCACCCAGCTGGACTGCAGTCTGACAAGACCAGGCTGTTCCCCTCTTTGCCTTTCTGCCATTATCAGCCCTGCAACCTGCTTTTATAACTAACTAAAAGTGTGTGTGTCTGGGGGGGATTAAGTTAGACAGACACCTCTGGTTATTCAGAGGGATGGAATTATTTCAAGACCCTGACTGGTTGTCAGCGCTCGCTGCGCCTCCTCCCCTCTTCGTTAAAAAAAAGCAACTTCAAATGACTTAAGCCGCTGGTCGTCAGCGCCAAAGCCACACTGTTGACAGGTACAGTAGGGTCTTAAGCCTTGAAGATCAACGCCGCTATTCTCCCTGACAAAATCCCCCCGCAGGGCTCCTCCCCGATTGGATGGCAGAGGAATGAAGGAGGGTGGTGGAGGGGTTTGGAGGAGAAAGAGAGAAGGGGTCAGACGAGGAGGTGTCACAGTGTCAGGAGGTAAGTCTTGGAAGGAAGGGACAGAGAGGCTGGGGACAGCCGTTTAATTATGGGAGAGGTTTCATGGCCAATCAGGGAGGAGTCCCTCGACATGGCTGGTAATTATTAACATTATCATTCACCAGCCTTGTCCCTGTCCAATTGATTGGCATGCCTGTTTCATGGCTCTTTCCAAAAAAGCAGCTATCACGCTCCTCGGTCTCTGCCTCGCTTCCACTGTCAATTTCCCCCAGCAAATGAATCCTCATCAGACTTTTACTGGGCTAAATTTGAGTGCAGCGCTGCACACAAATAAGAGGAAGTGCCGGTGCTGCCTCCTCTTCTCATCCTAAATAAAGGAATACAAGGTAACTGATTGTTAGCTAAATGCTCCATACATGTAGTGACTCCACTCACCGTGTTGCCACAGCCCTTTGTTTCTCTTTGTATCTGTGTATTGTTCCACCACAAAGCCTCGCACCGCTGTTTCTGAAGTAAATACATCTTAGTGACAAAGCAGAAGCTATCGATTTATTTCAACTCACAATCACAGCCACTTAGACGATTACACAGATGTAGTTTGTCATTATCTAAATGAATCAAAGCTTCATATGTGGGAGAAAACAAGTTAAATGAGATGAGGATTTCTGCTCTGCAACAAACTTGAGACTCTGGCATCTTATGTGTGTGTGTGTGTGTGTTTCTTCCCCTTTCTAAATGCAAGTGAAATGACAAGCAGGGTGACTTCTTTAAAAAGAAGCAGAAAAGAGAAAGAGGCAGATAGTGCGTTCGCGGTGGAAGTCCTGAAGGCGCTGTATAAGAGGTGCGCAGCGTCTTTTTGATATTCAGATTCGCCTGCCTACACACAGCATTATGACACATTTGGATGATCGCATTGTAGGATTAACGGGCCTGCCTTGTCATTTTCAACAACAATGCCACGATTTAGGGATGCTATTTCTCACACGGCGCTCCGCATTAACGCCGGCCCAAAGATTTACATAAATCTTTGTCTTAAGATGAAAGCAGAGAGGGGCTTGAGACAATGAAGTTAAGCTTTGGAAATGAAAGAGGAGAGGAAGGAGAGCCGTCACTGGGCGTTGGTGGTGGAGGGATGAAGAGATGGAAGGGAGAAAAAGAGGGGAGGGAGGGAGGGAGGAAAGTTTGAGGATAAATCAACCAGTAGTCATGCTGATTTGAAGAAACACTGTGCCTCCTCCCATTCTTGTTGGCGTCCATATGGTAGAAATAATTTTTTAAAAAGCGAATAGGGAAGGAGGAGGGAAATTTGCATTTCCGTATCTAAGAGGAGTTGGGGGT